CAACCTCAAAATAAAAAAGTCATTGAAGACCATCAAATTAAAAATGAAACGAGCCTTGAACCTTCAGGTAAACTGCCTCATATTGACAAAAAAATAATTATGTCATGAAGAAAATTCAGGGGCACAAGAATACATGAAGACAGACAGATCCGAGAACTTAGGTTTAAATTCTCCAGGAACAAATGCCAACTCGAGGGCGAATCTGAAGGAAGAATTAATATTAGTAGGGGAAGCAACTAATTTTCCAGAGAAACAATAGTTGATGCCGGATAAACAACTCGATCATGAGGAAATAACTCAATAATCAATCTAGACTAGACTAGAGGAAGAAATAATAATATTAATACGGCAACTGAATGGGACGGAGAGGCACGTAGGCGCGATCGAAAATTGTGTATTTTGGAGTAAGTTGAACTCAGTTCAGTTTTTGGTCCGATAAGCAACTCCAATCACGCCTCGAGAAAAAAATTAGTTTTGTGGCAGACTAACGTTTAAAGTTAGTATATCTTTTAGTTATCTGATATCCAAAGTCCCGTTGACGCCTATTATACTCCTCCGCCATGTTGAAAGTGTATTTTGTGTGGTAACATGGTCCCAGCAATTGAAATTTGGTGCATTAACAGGTATAAACAAAGGATTATAAAGCGGTTTTTAGTTTTCTAGGAACCATTCATTTGCCTCCCGTTTAGCTAGCGTTTGAAGCGATATCAACTTCAAGTATTGGTTATCTAATTTTTTTTTCAATTTTTATTTTGATTTTTGAGTTTTGAGAAATTTGCAACGGATTGAAGGCGCGCGTGTTTTCTGGCATAAATCCATAGTATATTTATCAGTAAAGTGATATGCGTTGCTGATTTCTGTTTGTGTATCGTCTTTTTTCGGCAATATAAATAAGGTATTTGAAGCATGAGAATAACACATTTAGATACGGTAGTAAGTTGAAAGAAATTGTCCATTTTGACCATCAGTGAATATTTGGTTGAAAAATTTACCATTTCCTAAACACAACAAAAAGTAAACTGTCATCGCCATGAGAGAGGGCGCAGGTGTGTAGTTGTTTAAAAGTAAATACAGCAACGTTTAGGAAACGACCAACTGCTAACTACAGTAAAAACTGGAACGTTTCAAAAACTCAAAAATGAATGACCAAATTGGTGCAAAACAAGGTTGTGACAACATTGTAACACGGTCCTTAACGCAACTTCTGTCTGGTTGCGCAACTTTTTCAAACACGTCGCCGCAACGTTAAATTGCTGCTTGGGCAATAAAGTAGCACTTTATTTTACTAGTAAAATAAAGTAGCATTTTATTTCACTAGTACAATAAAGTGCTACTTTATTGACGCAAAACTGTTCTATAAATAGAACTTTATTGGTCAATCGGACATAAATTATTTTTATTCTATTATTATTTTTTTTTTCAATAGTTACTGTTTGAAAAAATTGGCGAAACGAGAAACGATGGCCCCTTGCACTCTTTGTGCCCCGCGACAGTCCTCGGCTCACTTCCGGCTCGGATCGGGTTATTTTATTTTTATTTCGCGCGCCATCAACCTGTAGAATGGCGGGAATTTCGAATTTACAAAAATTCTAGTTTATTGATATAAATTTCTTTAACTTCTACGATTTGATAGCCCGAAAATAGTTATTTATACACCAAGTGAGTTAAATGAATGTTTATTCATGAGAAGAAAGTTTAACCCACGAGCCCGAAAGAAATGTCATACATGCAAAACAAATATAATAACATTTTAACTAAGCTACATTCAATAAAGACTCAATTCCTATGTTCTAAAATATCATTTACCATACCGCTCATGCCTAATAATATTCGTTTCTGTGGTTGAGAGCATCGGGCAACGCTGAGCGTGCTTCCGAAGTATTCCGAATATATCCGACCATGATTCCGAGAAACACAGACCGACCCAACTGTCCATATATTGTGATTTGATTACCTACCACGATTTCCAGGCCGCATTTTTATTTTCCTACTTTTTACGTGACACTCAAGGGCAGTGGCGCACCCAGGGGGGGACATCGGGCCTGCCCCCCCCCCCCCTAGGCCGCCGGTCCAAAACTGTATTTTTACGTACAAAAAAGCCACAAGCTACAACGTTTGTAGGGTCCCCCCATTCCCCAAACATATTTTCTGGGTGCGCCACTGCTCAAGGGATAGGTTAGGCCTAGGGGCCCCCAAATATATTTTGCCCTGAGGGCCAATCGTCCCTAGATCCGCCACTGCCCGTGCCACTTTCCACCGAGGTGAAAACATCATATAATTTAGCTAATCACCTAGAAAAATTATTTTTCTGAAATCTCAACATAACCGTTTTTGGGCGTGGCACCCGGAAAAATTTTAGCGCCTCCGGCAGCTCCTGCGTCGTCGGTCATTCAACTTCCTAAATTAGTAATTTGAACCAATATAACAATATACGCGCCGCCACTGCCCGTATGCACCTCCCTGAAACTAATCCTGGCGGCGCCCATGTCTATGGTATAAGGCGTAGACAGCGAGTTTCTCATAAACTTCGTGAATTGCGATGGCTCCCCATGACCGAACGTCGTACTTTGCATTCTTTATGCCTTTTTTATAAAGTAATTAAATTTAAATGCCCACCCTACCTTCACCAAAAACTAGCGTACCGCACTGATGTGCATAACATAAATATTCGACGACAATATTTATTAACCATACCAATTCACAAAAAAGAATATTTTAAAAATAGCTTCACATATCAAATTGCATCTCTAATGAATAAATATAAAATAACCGATTTCGCCAGTTCAATTGCTTCGTTTAAAAAAATGATAAAAAATAAATTTCTAGCATAATATCTTAAAATCTAAACTTAAATCAATAAATAATAATAAAAATCATAAATAAGTAATTTAAGACGTAAGTAGGTACATTGTTTAAAAAATAAATAAAAAACAATTTCTGCATGCATAATATAGTATAACTGATCCCTACCCTTCCCCTCCTTCTCCCAACCCTTTTTTTTTTGTTTATGTTTCTCTTCTCTTTTTTTTACATTATTGTATACCTTTCCTAAATATAGAAATTAGATATAAGTAAATGATTATGAATGTAAACATTCAAAGTTTAATTTTTTTAAACTTTGAACTAGCCACTAATAGTCCAGGAGGTGACGCCAAAAACATGCAAGAGTTTTCGCAAGGCGGATATTTTCAAAATAGGTCGTACTTTAGTGCTAGAATGCTAGTGTACAGTCAGCACTCACAGTTCCGGGACAGCTGGCTCTGGGACGCGGGCAAAGTTGTAATTTTAAGAAGCATCTAAACTGTTTTCTCAAAGCTCAAAATTTATAGAAATTTTGCACATTATCTGTTTGAATGTCACAGATACCGTATGTAAATCGTCAGACGTCTAGTTCGTTGCAAAAAGGGGGTCAGACGTCTTTAAAGTTTTTATTTTATGGCATTTTCTTCAAATATATTTGTCAAATACCTGCAAAAATATATTTTGACAGGACACCGAAGAAAATGCCATAAAATAAAAACTTTGAGGACGTCTGACCCCCTTTTTGCAATGAACTAGACGTCTGACCATTTACATACGTTATCTGTGACCTTCAAACAGATAATGTGCAAAATTTCTATAAATTTTGAGCTTTGAGAAAACAGTTTGGATGCTTCTTAAAATTACAACTTTGCCCGCGTCCCAGAGCCAGCTGTCCCGGAACTGTGAGTGCTGACTGTACACTAGCATTCTAACACTAAAGTACGACCTATTTTGAAAATATCCGAATTGCGAAAACTCTTGCATGTTTTTGACGCCAGCTCCCCAACTATAAGTAATTATAATTTTATTAACTATTGATCAGGCTTCAACAGCACCTTCCATCGGGAGGGAAGCTGCATAGGGGGCCATTTATTCCATTTAATTGCTGTAATAACTGTATTGTAATTAACTTGTTTGGGATAATAAATGTGTTTATTATTATTATTATTATTATTTCAAAAAGAGAGAAGAAGACAACAAGAGCCATGCCATAGCACTTTGCACATAAAGTGTGTTTTTTTTTTTTTAAAGATAATTCCCCAAGTCAAAAATTTAGTAACTGTTGGCAACACAAGCCTTTTCTACATTAAAAATTTGAAAGAATTGACAGTTTTACATTGTATTGCCAACATAATGTCATTTTGACTTTTATCTTTAAAAAAAAACACATTTTAGCAATTTGACGAAAACACCCGAATGAGGCTCGTACAGCATATTTTTTTTATTACATATTCTTAAAGAGCGTATTGAGTTTAGCAGTTGCGCAAAATTTCATAATTTTCCGAGCCCTTATTTATATTTGAATAAATTATCAAAATGCTCCAAATTTTAAAGTTTTTAAACACGCGGTGACGTCACTGCATCTCTCACGTTGGTCGTGGTGGTGCTGGTACCGTACCCCCGTCACTACGACTTTACGGGCATTGTTTTGACAAGTTTTAGTTTGGCACATGGAGGATGCAAAACCGTGTGTTACGGCCTTTAACCTGTCTCGACTCGAGAGATGACGTCATACCATCTCTCAGCCATGAATTTCTGAGGCATAATCTTTTAATATTCAAAGCCGCATAACTTTCTTAATATTTATCCAATTGAGCTGAAATTTTTGGTGTGTGCTATATGTGAGTAATACTCCATTAAAATATGAAAAACCGTGGTTAATGAAACATCACTGAATGAGCCTATTTAAATTAAATTCAATAAATCATACATAGGTACTTAGACATCGAGTTTAGTCTAGTAATGAAATTATTGGAGTAGGTATACTATTTTAACACCGTTTCCAATTCCCAGGCGAAATCCCATTGACTCGAACCCCGTCGAAATGTGAAAAACTACCCTTAACAAATAAAAATGCATAAATCAAAATTTCGTTTTTTTTCCAACTTCTTGTTTTCTAAGTTCTTGATAAGGCCCAACGCAACATGTTTATAAAACTGAAATTGGATTTCTATATTAGTTATACTTTTTTATTCTAGACCCTCAACTACAACCATTTGATGCCCACCCGTTACTCAGTAACAGACTTGACGGACATCAAAGTGGCGCCGAAGGACATACGCGACCCCATGAAGAAGAAGAAGGCTCGCTTCCAAACTAGAGCGAAATTCGAAGAAAGATACAAGCAAGGCAAGAACAAATGGTTTTTCCAGAAGTTGAAATTCTAAGTTCGTAATTACGTTTATGAATTGAATATTAAAAAAAGTTAGTAGATATTTAGTTTTATTTCAGGACCTGACTAATGTTATGCTCAAAATATTCCATATAAATTAAGTACCTACTGCGGGAATATTACTATTGCACTAGATTGTTTGAAAATAATCTAGAGAAAATATATTTTTCTTAGATTGAAACTATTAATCCCCACTATCAAAACCAAACAGAGGTTATTCTAACGTGCAGTCGGACACAAAATGTGCAGTAGGAAAAGTATATTTTACAGTAGGAAATTAAAATCTGTGTAGGAATTTCTTCATTTATTACGAACAAAAAACTTGAAACTTAACACAGAACAAACTAATAGATATTTACGATACAAGTGAGTTAACAGCATCATTAAGATACGCGTGTGGAAGTTGCACAAAGAGCGCTAAAAACCAGCTACCTGAATCACCTCAATACCTTTTGCTTTTGTTCAAATCTAATATATAAAATTCTCATGTCACAATTTTAGTTACCTTCGTCCTCCGAAACGGCTTTACCGATTTTTATGAAATTTTATATGTATATTCGGTAGGTCTGAGAATAGGTTTTAAGCTATTTTTTATACCCTTAAGTGATAAGGGTGGTCCACTCCAGATTTTTTAAATTTTTTCTTGCTTCACACCACTACATAACTCAACTTATTTTTGTTTATTCCATTCAACCGACGTAACAGTATTATCTTATAGCATTTTCGGCTTTACTGCTCCCAGAGCGCTCTCTTTTTAGGCGGTGACGTCACAGATCTCTGCGGAAGTGTTCCGAGAGCAATTATGATCCAAGCGAGGCACCCTATTTGAAATCTATAGCCAAATGATGTAAAATTTTAATTTTAGGTGATTGCTGATCCAGAGAGTAAACATTAGTTTTCTTCAACCAAGGCCAAATTTACCATTTAAAAATACTGAATTTAATTCATCTACTAGATACGTTAACACAACATTCAATAGGTATTTAATAATTCATAAGCGGTACGAAGTTCGCCGGTTCAGCTAGTAATAATATAAACTTGACCAAATTACCATGAAAACACGATAACACCATGCATGGTTTCATCTCAATTTGATAGTAAATAATATTGATGTCACTATAGTTTCAAAAACCTAAGAAAGAGTGCGGTAATGAAAATGCGTGAGTTAAGAAGCTCTTAACTCACTCGAAATGCGTGAGTTGAGAGCTTCTTAACTCACTGGCGTAGATAAAAATAATATACGTGGTTGACATAATATGCTACACATGAGAATGCAAAAGCACTATCAATACATGTATTCTAAAATTTCTTGCTGTTTTTGTACAGCCTGTGCAGTTTCATTTTCAGAATCTACTGACAAGCTACTTTGAGATGTAGGCTTTTTAATGTATTGCTGATACTTAGTTATAAGTCTTTCCACATCCGCACTATCCGATTTAGCATTCAAGACCTGTGCGAAAATATTTTAATTGAATCAAGGAAAACCCAGAATTCAGAAAGCGTCAGTTTCTGCAACTTTTCTATTTGTGGATGTTCTATACCTTTTCAACTTCAAATTGGGAACAATCAATTTCAATTTGGAACGTAGCAATTTCAAATTGGGATTAATCAACTTTTAATTGGTAACTAACACGTTCAAAATGGGAATAAAAAAAGTCAAATTGGAAATAAACAATTTAAATTTGGTACTAATCAACTTCAAATTGGAATTGTTTAATAAATTTTAAAGTTTTGCAAGTCAACCGGCAGCTACGCGTTTAAACCGTATATTAAATTAACAAAACGCCTTAAATTAAAACACCTGATGCAGAAAATGCTGAGAAGCAAATATGTGCTGTTTTTAATATCAAAGGCCACTGAAGAAAATTGGATAACACACTGGTTATAAAAAAATCTACAGCTTATCGATAGGTAGGTACCCAAGAAGTTGTTCGAAGGAAACGTGGGGGACAAAGAAAAGCAAACATTTTAGAAGACCATAAGGTATAAATGACTGGATACATAGAGGAAAATCCTGAAATTACGCTGATATAAAAGAAAAATTTGAACATAATCTCATTTTGATGAAATGTTTTCATTCGCAATTCGCAAATCACTAATCAGCCATGTTTAGCGCATCCGGCCATCAGGTATAAAGCGTTGAATATGAGCTGGCACAAATATTTTTTTTTAAATTCGAAGAAATAGTTCATGATTTTCTAAGGGACTTGAATGTAATCGGAAAGAAAAACAAACTCAAAGTCAAAGTCTCAAAATATAATTTCCTAAATTGAATAAGCCTATTCCCAATTTGAATTTGTTTCTTCCCAAATTAAAATTGATTAGTCCCAATTTGAAGTTGATTAGTACCAAATTGAATATGATTATTCCCAATTTGATATTGTTAATTCTCAATATGATTTTGTTAGTTCCCAACTTAAAGTTGTTTAGTCCCAATTTGAAGTTGAAAAGGTATAGTATTTCGTCATAATCTAACTTGAATCGAGTTATAGGCAAAGATCTTTCCCCAAAATACGAAAAACACTTTAATTAGGCACTAGCTGACGTCACACACATAACCTCACTTTTGATGGGGGGACAAACAATGCGCTTAAAGGACTATTTATTAGGCAATCCAATCCATTTGTCAAAACAAAAATTCAATATGGCGTGGCAGCCAAGCAAGTTTGTTATGAATATGTGTTTTTTATGCGTGTTTTAGTTATTTTGTTTCGAGTTTTGCTTGCAAGTTTGAATTAGATTTGTTATAAAATATTGGTTGACTAGGTACTTATATAACGTAACCTATTAAGTCGCACGGAAACTAGATATTTTTTTATAGGGCCGGTTTATTCACCTTCTGATAAACTGTCAAGTATGCAATCTGACGGATAAAAACAAAATCTGTAATCTCGTTGGTCGGCCAGTTACCCGCCGACCAATAGAATCAAAGAACGGTCAATTTAATTTATCTTGCAGATAAGTAGTTACCAGCAAGTTTATCTGAAGATGGATAAATCGGACTTTAGTGTTATAAAATGCCGTATAAGTATCTATTTGTTGTGGGATGTGGGAGGCGCCGAGAAAGGGACAATCAAAATATGTCTTTCTACAGGGTCCTAGACGTGTCAATTTCAGAATTTTTTCCCCATTTAAATGAAACATAACGAAAAAGACGAATAGCATGGATAACGGCAATCAAACCATCATAGGGTTTTACAATAGGAAAACCAAGTGAGGTAAAGGATGTGGATAATTCTGACTGGGACACCAAGTTCTTGTGAATATTGGCTCTACAAAATGATAATATCTTGTCGTATTGTACTTAACAGATTTATTTCTCACAAAAACACCAAAGCACATAAATATGTAAAACTTCGAACAAACAGTAGACTGGTGAGTGGTGTGATGATCCAGAAATTTGACCCGATAATTACAAAGTCTTCACTGTAAAAATTAAATTTTATCAAATAATTAAAAACTTAATTCCGGTATTCTTAAATCAGTATCGATAAATTAAAATAATAGTTATTTATACACCAAGTGAGTTAAATGAATGTTTATTCATGAGAAGAAAGTTTAACCCACGAGCCCTACCGAAGTTTAACCCACGAGCCCTAGCGAGTGGGTTAATTTTCTTCGAATGAGTAAGCATTTTAACTCACGTGATGTATACAAAATTTTGATGGACATTTAAAAAATTAGGTCCTTAATAGGAATCAAATTATAAAAAGAATTCATTCTGCGAGCGCTAATGTCTAATACCTATTTAAACTGGTAGTTGCTAGGGTATAGCTAATTGTTTGTTTATATTTGTAGCAGATTTTTGTATTGGCAGAGTGACTTAAAAGACCGGGAGTAAGTTAAAAATATTTTAAATCACTCAAGTGATAAACGTCTCCTTACCTTTGTTGTTATGCGTTCAATAATGTCATTTTTAAACGTCAAAATGGGACAAAACAAATTAACGCTACGTATCTCGACACACAGCGTGATGTCATCAAAAACCCGATCAATGAACTTTTTTCTTAGCAAGGCCAGCATGTTAATTAATTTGATGATATATGGCATTCTTGAACCAGTAATGTTTTGACCTCAATAAATCAGAATATTGCGACATAATTAATCGATTTTAGACTAAAAATAATATAAAATTCCAAGGAAATTGCATCATCTTAATTGTCATGGACAAAGAGATTTAGGTGCATCGGGTTTTATATAAATAGCGCGTTTTTAAAAAGGAGTAGGTTAGTTGCCAGTTAAGAATTGTCCAGTCCAGTTTAGTTAAAGTCTGACCAGTTTTGCGAAAAGTTACTTTTATGGCGTATGGCATCGGGTATAATTTAACTTAGTTTTTTAAATTTACGGAAAATCGTGAAAGTAATAACATTTGAAATTCGTTCAATAATTTATGTGCGTGCTAGCTAAATATTTTTAGTAATTAATTAAGTAATTTTACGTGTGTTTTATGGACAAAATGTAAGTACTCTATAGTGACAAGATTTATTTCCAATATAAATTATGAACATGACTTTGTGTGATTAAACTTTGAATTTTACTTGAGTGATTTTGACTAGTAAAAACTTTCTGACTTTTATCAATGATTCTGAAAGATAAGAAGTGAATCAACAATTGGCTTTCATTGCATAAAAACAAACTGAGTGATTATTACTAGAAATACTTTTGAATTTATAAACTTGAGAAATGTTACTAGAAAAACTTTTGACTTTTAATTTACCAGTAGAACTTTATTGCCTTAATAGTAATAACTCGAGAGTTTTATAAATGGAACATTATAGCATAACTTTAATTGCCTTCAGATATAATGACATTCTAATTTAAATGTGCAAAGAAAATATGAAGGGTACTTATAATGCATTTAACAATATACAATTGTGAGTTGGAATTATGAATTAAACAGTTGAATTTATCAGCTAGGCATAGGAATCCGAAAATAGAATTTGTTCTGATAAACTATTAACTGCAATAGGAAATTTTGAAAAGAAACTTGATGACATAAAATAGAATTGTTGTCTTGAAATAATGGAAAATTGTCAAAGGAAAATTATAATAGAATTTGTTCTGATCAAATAAACTATTAAAGGGAATAGAAAATTTTGGAAAGAAACTTGAAGTTCATGAAATAGAATTGTCTTAAAATATGGAAAAGTTGTTAAAAGAATTTATTGTTCATGAAATGAATTTTAAATTAGGAATTTTATATTTCAAGTAGAAGTCATTGTAAGATTTTATGAGAATAAATTAGTTGATAAACAAATAGGTAATTATTTTGGGTTTTCATAAGAGATTTTAAAGAATTATTTAATTAGGTAAAGGGTAGTTATTAGGAATGATTCGGATGAAGTGAAATGAGTTAAATTATAATTTATGAGAAATAGTATGAATAGGGCGTTTCTTATTTAGTAGAGATATTTCAGTGGTCCGTAAAAATAACAAACTAGAACGGATGTGAAGTATTGATTTTATAGAAATAAAGAAGGATGTAAAGTATTGGAAGATATTTGGCTGATTTTTGGGTTTTATTTAAAATAAAATATAATTTAGTACACCTCATTAGTTTGTTTCTCTCTCTTGCAAATAGACCCTCTTCCACAGATTTTAGATAGCAACTCCAAGTATATAAACACCATCAATATACCGCTCGCTATTTACCATCTAACTATTTACACAGAGTACCTGGGGTGTTTTGCTACAACTGCACACGACTAAAAAATGAAGTTTGGCCAATAGTTTGGCCTATGCGTGGCCATCACGCCATCTTGAATGTCATGTGGTTTGGATTGCCTAATACAAGTAGGCGTTAGCTATTTAGTACGTGAAAAATCACATAACGTCACTTTAGAGGGGGGACAAACATTTCATGTCATTGAGACAAACCTAACCTACATGCCTACATCAATGGGACAAACAATAGCTATTTACCTAACAAGTGCGGAAAATGAATTTTTCCGCACGCGGCTGCCGTTCACCGAACGACGCGTAGCGGAGTTCGGTGATGCAGCCGAGTGCGGAAATAGTTATTTTCCTAACAAGTGCGCAAAGTGTTACTTTTCCGCACGCAAACACAGTTATACGAACGACGCGAAGCGGAGTTCGGATACGTGTTTGCGTGCGGAAAAGACACTTTGCGCACGTGTTAGGAACAAAATTTTTCCTACGAGCTTCATATCAGGTAGGTAATAACAAAAATTTGAAAAAAAAACCGATAATTTGTTTAATTATTTTTAATTAACTTGAAGGGAACCTATGCATTTATCAAAAAATTACATAACAAAAAAAAAATAACAGAAAATCCTCGTCAGAGCTGTTCATCTTAAAGCGTTTAAATTTGATGAGAAAGTTTGTAGATTTTTGCATATAAATAGAGAACAAATCTGATGTGTCAAAGTTAATTTATAATTGGTGTTTGTATAGATGTTGGCTGATATAGAAATAGAGGAAAAATTTGTCATCATGTGTCAAAGTCGACAGGTGCACTTATTGTTGCTTGACAATTATAATTACTTTTCGGCACTCAGTGCGGATAAGGCCTGTATCCGCACTGAGTGCGGAAAAGTGTAACTTTGAGCCCGGAAATGCGTGCGGAAAAGTACTACTTTGCGCACGCTCGTAGGAAAAATATTTTCCGCAAGTGTTAGGTACAATATTTTTCCTACAGGCGAAAAAATGTAAAATTTTTCTTTTTTTTTTTTTGACATATCAGTGCGGTAAAATTTTTTCCGCACTGACAGCCGTGCGGAAAAACTTTTTCCGCACTGATATGTCAAAAAAAAAAAGTTTTACCGCACCGTGCGGGAAAACTCATTTTCCGCACGCATATCAGTGCGGAAAATCGATTTTTCCGCACGGCTGTAGGAAAAAGATATTTCTCAAATGAACCTGTTCAGACAAATCCGGCGCAGTGAATTTTTTTAAATTTTTAACCATATATGAAATGTCATTACTGACTTTTCAAAAATTTGAAAATGTCACATTTCTGTCTTTTCATTTTCCTGGTCCATTACCTGTCCCAGGGCGGAAAATGAGGACGGGAACTTTTTTCCGTCCTCCTTTCCCGTCCACGGACGGCAAATGGAGCAGGGAAATATTTCCCGTCCTCATTCTCCCTCCTCATTTCCCGACCTCATTTATTTGGTTGTCACGAATTTATTTATTTTTTTCAAGAAATTATGGTTAAAAATAAAATAGTATACAAACCTCGACGGGAAACTTCATTGCTGTCTCGATCAGCAATGAAGCATTTCCCGTCTCGGATTGTAATATACTAATCATCAGTGTCACAGTTTTGAGTGCTGTAAATAGTTCTCAAACGCTTTGTTTGTCCCCCCAACGAAAGTGAGGTTATGTGTGTGACGTCAGCTAGTGCCTAATTCTAAATTCGTGAATGGTTTTATCACTGATAGCTTTTCAGCATCTATTTCATATACCTTTCGGTGAGGAATTCTACGAGAGATTCAACTACTTCCATGATGAGGGCTCATAGTTAGCTTCACTTCTCTGTGCAGTGGAAAAAATCCTTAGAATAACCTCTGAAATCAAAGTTCTTTTCGAAGTTTTGGATTCTACGGAAAATTTAAAGCCTATTATTCCATGACCATATGTAATGACGTATGCCAAAATTTAAGATTTTCTGGTTAAATTTAATCTCTGGTTAAATCTAAAGTTAGTGTTTAAAATTTGGAGTTTGAAATTATATGAAAGTACATATTAGGTAAGCATGAAAATTGGACGATGTAATTTGAATAGTTCCACTAGTTCCAAATGAATAGAAGTTCTCAATGAGGTTCTTATTCAAAGTGTTTTTGCAAAATCTGAACAGGGTTGAATATTGATTTTAGCAGTTTTGACAAGTCATAATTAACTGTCATCAAAACCAAACTTTGAGAAAGTTTTTTTTCCGAATGGATTCGTCAACTTTCCTCATCAAACGAGTAAAATATTTCGAAATTCTCCAACAAAAAGAACACGACACCTATCAAAAATTGCTATTCAGTTCCCTGACTCCTGAAGGAGAAATTTCTCAAGAGAAATCCGTATTGCTTCAGTACGCAGCCGAAATGCTGCGCAGAAACGAAGCTGGGCGCGCAGCTGAAATCGAACGAGCTTCGAATGAGTCGATTCAGCGAATAGCTGCGCAACGACAACACGAACACTTGGCAAGTATGTTCAGGCATCTACCCAACTAACAAATTTATTTTACATTTTATATGGTTCTATTCTTCTACATATTAGTATGTATGTATTGGGATATTCACTACATTTTAACTCCCCTTCTAGCTCTATTTCTTTCAGATTTTCAAAACAAAACTTTATTACAAAAGTTGTTTGGTCTAAATAACATTTTTCGAATTAGAGAGTAATATTTATACAGGGTGTCCAAGAAGCGGTCTACAGCTCAACAGCTCCTTACTTGACATTTCTAAATGGGACACCCTGTATCCTTTTTGATTTCTAGACTCTACGTTGAATTCTAAGATCAATCGATGTAACATAGATTTATCTCATATCTAACACTTCAACCATTTGCATTTTGATTATGCATTTCTTATAATCCTGAAAATCCTATATCATATGCATGAATATCTCTTGTACTTGTATCATTTTACATAATCTTTTTGGCTACTTTTAACATATGGGTATGCAGTGAAAGCACTAAAGAAAACTGAATTTCCTATAAATTATCTCATTTGCCCATTCCTACCACTTATTGCTCATCCTTATCTTTGCTATCTTCAATGTGTTTTTTTTATAACTAGTTTAGTTGAATGAAAAAGAATTCAAAAGTCAGCTTCTGAGTCAAGTCAAATCCCAACTTCCGGTCTATCAGGGTTTCTTATGGTTAATGGAAAAGCTATAAAAGCTTCAGTTCATAATTTATGAACATTTCAATGCTCTCGGGCAAAAAATGTATGTAAGTTTCTTTTTTTATAATTTGTTTTGTCCTACAGCTATAAGAATACTAGAGCCCGAGCCTATTCAAGAAATGCAGAATAGAACCTTACTACCTTTGCTCACGTATTCAGGAGCTGAACGAATCATACACAACCAACTTGTATTACCCAGTTTGAGAAAGAGAAAAATACCAGATCAAGAACACGCTAATCAAAATGATGGGTTCGTGCCAGCCACTTTATCAAAAAAATTAAGAATGACTGACGCAAAAACAGAAGGGCCAGTATTTGAATTTGAAGAAGGTGAACCCATTTTGGAATTATTAGACACCACTGAGGTAGAAATGTTGTAGTTAGACAGTAGTCATAGTTTTGTATCGTCGAGCTAGTAAAATACGTCGTTTTAGTTGTCTTGTATTGGTACTTATAATTTTTGTAGATAATAAATGTAGATAATAATTATGTCAGAATTATATAAGACTCAAAAATTACATTTTTGATTTCAATATACCTACAGATGAGATGATCACGTTTCTGGGTTGAAAATTTTGACAAGATTTTGCTCAGTGAAAATAGTATATTGTATGTTTAGGTGGAAAAGTGACACATTCTCGGCCGACGGTGTAAGTTGACGTAAGCGAGGCGCAGCCGAGGCCGGCAAACACCGAAGGCCGAGAATGTCCTTTTCCTCCTAAACACACAATATATTCCGGTCTAGGCCGGGAAAGTGATTCCCGTATAGTTATCCATTGATTCTTTAACAACTATTGAAAGATATTGAGTTTTGTAGCTTGTCAACCGGTCGAAAGAAAATGTTGATATTTCTTGTCAATCACAGAAAAATGAAATTTTTACCTACGAAAGACGAGAATTTTCTCGGTCTTCTAATAGTTTTATCAAAAATTCTGGGGGATAATTTTTTGCACACTATTTTTGGCATTTCTCATCTTTATTTCGTTTCTTTTTTCTCCAATTTGTCCCATACTTTTCACTAGCGCTTTATTGAAGTTCTCGACTTTTTGTTGCTCTTTTATCCGGTTTTCTCTACAGCTGCTTTTCCAGTTTTTTCTGGCTTTTTTTGCTCTTTTGCCAGCTTTTCTAAGAGGATTGCCTATTATTATTAAGCCCCGATACCTTTTGTGAAGTCACTTCAGATGCGCGTCTGCCTTTTGTGTGGTTCCTTGTCTTAACCCCGATTCAAAGTCAAAAGTTGTTTTTTTGACAAAATATTTGAACGAAAATGGAGAGTGATTTGAAAGACGCTTCACGTTTAGGCCCAATTTGTTACACGAGAGAGAAAAATATATAATGTGGAGAAAAGGAAAGAGAGCAAGCAGAGTAGAGAGATATAACGAATAAAGCAGGAAAAAGAGAGCTATAACTTGTATACAGAGTGAGTTTTAAGTATGGAAAGTCTAAATTATCTCAGAAACGGCTTGCACGATTTTTTTGAATTTTGGTTTGAGAGAGTTGTATAGAATTTTTAATACCTATTTAGAAGTACCAGTCGTTCTAGTGACTAAACGTATGTCGCTTCTTGAACACACAAATAAAATTAGGTTAGGAATTTTCTATTTGTAGGTACATGAAATTGACGTATTAGCAATCGATGTTCGTTTTTGTTGGTGATTTTCTGTTTCATCTTTCATCTGATTCGTGATTGATAAATAAGGATGGGGTTATTCTAAATGGGTACCTATTAAAAATACTATAATATGGTATGGCCGATAAGATGGTAGTATTTACACGTTTGTCAGATCTTTCGTTTTTCGGTAAATATCAGAAAATTTATTTCTTCAAATGGATCACTCTATATATTATGGCATTTATGGATTCTGCGGAAAATTCTAGACACATTTCATGTACAATGTCATTACTTATCTTCAACTGTTTCGGAAATATTGACAGTTGAAAAGTTACTTTTTTGCATCTTTAACAAACTGTAAGACCTAAAACGTTGATTTTAGAGCAAAACCGATCATATAATTAGGTGCTAGCTGAAGTCTCACACATAACCTTAATGACATGTTTGCCCCCTATCGAAAGTCGCGTTATGTCATTGGTGACAAGCTGGCGCCTGTGTGTTAAATGGACCTTTCAAACGCTTTGTTTGTCCCCCCAACGAAAGTGAGGTTATGTATGTGACATCAGCTAGTGCCTAATTCTTATATCTTAGTATTTCATAAACTATCATTCGACACCAACTTTCTGATATTTACCAAAAAACGAAAGATCTGACAATCGTGTAAATACTACCACATTATCGGCCATATTACAATACAAACCAAAACTCAAAAATATCGTGCAAAGCGTTTCCGAGATAATTATTGAGACGTTCCATACATAAAACTCACTCTGTATACAAACTATAGCTCTCTTCTTCCTGCTCTCTTCTCTGCTTGCTCGAAAGCCTGTGTTTTAGATATAGCTCTCTCTCTTTCCTTCTCTCTACATTATATTTTTTCTCCCTCATGCAACTAAATGGGCCTAAAGATGACGCATCTTTCAAATTACTCCCCATTCGCGTCCAAAAATGAAACTTCTATCACTTCGTATTGAATGTATACGCCGCTCTTCTCTGTTTTGCAACGAAGTTCTGTGTTTTAGATATCTCTCTCCTTCTCTCTACATTATACTTTTTTTTCTCTCGTGTAACGAAATGGGCCTAAATGTGACGCGTCTCTCAAATCACCCTCCATTCTCGTTCAAATATCAGCCGCCGCCTAGGAAGTTTAACTTCAATAATGCCAAAACACAATGATAATACTGTAATGATCCGGGAAAAATAGTCCCGATAATTACAATGTCTTTACTGTAAAAAATTAAATTTAATCAAACAATCAAAAACTAAATTTCCGATATCTCAAATCAGTATCGATAAATTAAAAATGAAACAAATTAACGCTAACGTATTTCGACACCCAGCCTATGTCATCCTAACATCCGATCAATGAACTTTTTTTAGCGAGGCCATCGTACCTGATTAAATCGATGATTTATGGCATTCTTGAACCTAAAAATATCCGTAGTGACCCCGATAAAATCAGGCTCGTGCAGCATATTTTTTTTATCACATATTCTAAAAGAGCGTATTGAGTTTAGCAGTTGTGCAAAATTTCACAATTTTCCGAGCCCTTGTTCATATTTAAATAAATTATCGAAACGCTCCAAATTTGGAAGTTTTGAAACACGCGGTTACGTCACTGCATCTCTCACGTTGGTCGTGTGACGGCCTTTAGCCCGTCTTGACTCGAGAGATGATGTCATACCATCTTTAAGCGATGAATTTCTGAGGCATAAATGTTTTATTATTCAAAGCCTCATAACTTTTTTAATATTTATCTAATTGCGCTGAAATTTTTGGTGTGTGCTATATGTGAGTAATACTCCATAAAAATATCAAAAAACGTGGTAAATGAAACTTCACTGAACGAGCCTATTGCGACATAGTTATTCGAAACAGATAAAAATGTCAAAAATTTTAAGGAGATTGCATCATCTTAATTGTCATGGACACAGAAATTTCGGTGGGGAATCAAAAAATATAAATACCGCGGTTTTAGAAGTGGAAGGCAGTTGTCAGTTGAGAGATGAGTGCGCAGTCCTGTCCAGTTTGAGTTAAAATCTACAGTACCTAAAGTGTCAGTCGGAGATAATATTTGCGGAAAGTTTCTTGTATTGCCTCGGTAACAGTCTTTGAAAAATTTTGAAAGAAAGAACAATTAAATTCGTCAACATTTATGTGCGTGTTAGCTAAAAAGTTTGAGTAATTAATTAAGTAATTTTACGTGTGCAAAGTTAAATGTAAGTACTTTAGTGTTTAATAATTTTCTGACTTAAATCAATGATTCTGAATTATAAGAAGTGAATTAACAAATGACTTTCAATGCCTAAAAACTTGAGAGATTTTCCTAGTAAAACTTTTGACTTTATAAAATATGAATGACTATAAAGTGAAATATCAATGGAACATTATTGCATAACTTTAATTGCCTTCAGATATAATGACATTCTAATTTAATTGTGCAAAGAAAATATGGAGGGAACTTATAATGCATTTAACAATATACAATTTTGAGTTGGATTTATGAATTAAACAGTTGAATTTATTAGCTAAGCTAGGAATCCGAGAATAGAATTGTTCTGATTAAATAAAATATTAAATGGAATAGAAAATTTTGAAAAAAAAACTTGATGTTCATGAAATAGAATTGTCTTAAAATATTGGAAAGTTGTTAAAGGAAACTTATAATAGAATTTGTTCTGATTAAATAAACTATTAAATGGAATAGGAAATTTTGAAAAGAAACTTATTGTTCATGAAATGAATTTTGAATTAGGGTTTTATTTTTCAAGTAGAAATTATTGTAAGGTTTTATAAGAATAAGTTAGTAATACCTATATTGATAAACAAATAGGTAATTATTTTGGGTTTTTCATAAGCAGTCAGTAAAGAAATTAGAAATTTTAAAGAATTTATATAATTAGGTAAAGGGTAGTTTATTAGGAATGAATCGGAAGTGTTGAAATGAGTTAACTTATAAGTTATTAGGAATAGTAGGAATAGGGCGTTTCTTATTTAGTAGGGATATTTCAGTGGTCCGTAATAATAACAATTTTAGAAAGGATGTGAACTAATTGAATTTATAGAAATAGATGAGGCTGTCAGAATTGGAAGATATTGGGCTGATTAAAAATTTTTGGTTTTATGTATAATAAAATATAATTTAGTACACCTCAATTTGTTTTGTTTCTGTCTCTTGCAAATAGACCCTTCCACAGATTTTAGGTAGCAGCTCCAAGTAAATAAACACCATCAATATACCGCTCGCCATTTACCATCCTAACTAATTACATAGAGTACTTGGGGCGTTTTGCTACAATACATATCGGGTTTTCAAAAAAAAAAAACAATCAAAGATTGCTTTGAATACGAAAACGTACGTCGCATTAATGTTTCTTTATTGGTAAGGATTTTTGACATTTTGACATAAAAGTTAATTGACAAAATTAAAGAAAAATATTGCTGAGACATACGTTTAAAAAACCATAGCAATCTTTGATTGGCTTTTTTTTCGAAGACCCGATAGTATAATAAAAGAGAGACGCGCATCTGTAGTGACGTCACAAGGGTATCGGCGCTTGACAATAATAGGCAATCCTCTTTATTTATAATCCTTGGCTTGTGATAATCCTCTAATATCATTTTTAATAATACAGGGTGTCTCAAAACGACCCAACTATTTTGAATGAAGTTTAAAACCACTCTGTTTATTGCTATTATCATTCATTGTTGTTAATCTGAGAACAAAAAACAATAAAAAATATCGCTTCTTGAAAATTTTATCATTATAATTATTATGCTCTTGGCAATGGAGGCTTAAGACCGATGACTCCATCGCTTTTGATTTTTCACTTCTAGTTTTTTGTTTTTGGTACTTTTTTAAAAATAACTAGCTAATGACCCGCTGCGTTGCCAGCGTGTAAATACATTTTGAAATAATACACTTCTTTTCAAATTTTGTTGTTGATTTTCTATTTAATTTTTTTTTTAAATCCGATATCAGAGTTGCTTGCCAGTGAGTTTAGTGACGCATTTTAAGCACTCCAGAGCTGCTCTAGAGCGCCCCGGGCTGTTTATAGGCGTTCCAGTGTATCAGAGCTTTACGCAACCGAACTTTTTTTTTCGGGATAAAAAATAGCCTATATCACTCTCCTCTATAGCCGATTCGATTGACCGGATTAGATCGATCTGGTTCAATTTAAGTGAACCACACTGTGTTCGATTCAAGCTGGTTCAGTGCACCCTCATCAACAAAACAATGATCTGGATCAGAAGAAGTTCACTTAAATTGAACCCAAATCGATCTAATCTGGGTCAATCGAATTCACCTTATATAGAGATATGTGGTATTAATTCAAGATCGATCCAGCCGTTCTTGAATTCAAAAAATAATAAAGTTACGTCGGTTGAATGCAAGCCTAAATAAATGAAATATGGCAACGTTGTTTCATGCTGTCAAAAAAGTTGGGTTGTTGTTATGTAATGTGAATGAGTTTGTTTACAATTAAATTAATAATTAATTCAAATTTTTTTTTTTTTCCGAGATGCGTAACCTATCCACAAACCTTCCTTGGGATGGCCATAACAACCTACCAAAGTTTCATCGTAATCGGATAAGTGGTTATGGAGCGCATATCCGGATACCCCGCGAACTTTGATTTTTATATACAGTGTGTCCGTAAAGTAACGCATAAATTCATTATTTTGAAAACGGTAGAATTTTCGAAAAATCGCTCGGACACGTCAATTTTGTTTTTTTGTTTGAAATTTTTTGATATATTTTTTATTATACAGGGTGTCTCAAAAATAGCTCCGCTGCTATCAACTTTGTTTTTTCAAATGGATCACCCTGTATATTATGACATTTATGGTTTCTGCGGAAAGTTTTTGATGTATTTAATGTACAATGTTATATACCTATCTTCAACTGTTTCGGAAAAATTGACAGTTGAAAATTGATTTTTTTTCAACTTTGAGAAGCTGTAAAACCTGAACGGTTAATTTTAGAGGAAAACCGATTTTACATTCCTATCTTAGATTTTCATAAACTATCATTTGACATCAACTTTGAAGTTAATCCGTGATTAAAAATTCCGGTCAAATTTAATCTCCGGGTAAATTCAAAGTTGGTGTCAAATGATAGTTTATGAAAGACTAAGATAGGAATGTAAAATCGATTTTCCTCTAAAATTAACCATTCAAGTTTTACAGCCTGTCAAAGTTGCAAAAAAATCAATTTTCAACTGTCAATATTTCCGAAACAGTTGAAGATAGGTATATGACATTCTACATGAAATATGTCAAAAATTTCCCGCAGAATCCATAAATGTCATAATATACAGGTTGATCCATTTGAAAAAACAAAGTTGATAGCAGCGGAGCTATTCCTGAGACACCCTGTATAATCAAAAATATATCAAAAAATTTCAGGGCGCCTATTCTTGAAATAATGTGAAAGGAACATTCGCCTGGGAGAAGTGATCGGTTGCCTCATATTTGTTCTATGTGATGTGATCAAAACCCGACGACCCCGAAGTATCGAAATCAGTATTCTCGAACACGGTGTGAGAGACAGCTGAAATGTCAAAATTCAAATATTTTGAGGTTAAAGATTTATCAATCTTTGTTAATGTTAGGTTAGTTAAGGATGTTTTGTTGTTTATTATTTTTATTGTTATGATTTATGAAAGTGATTTGAGATTATCATATAATAATAATATCATTATTTAAGTAGTGTTAGTATTTAAATTTAGAAAAATGGAAAAATCTGCCACATCGCGCAGACATCCCGTAAATTCAAAACAAAAAGAAATATTAGTAGAATTCATGAAACAACATTCCGATTTAAAGACCGGCAGGTTTACTTCCCAATTTACATTTAAAAAAGCTCAGCAACTTTGGGAGGAAATAGCAGCTAAACTAAACAAAATATCAAATGGCTCACAAAAAAACTGGCGTCAATGGAGAAAGGTAAGTAGATCAAGGTATTTATTGCGGTATTCATATTAAATTTCACTAGAAATTGACAATTTCCATAGTTTTAATTTTTTGGTTTAATTTGGACTTTGGCTTGTGGCAGCCTTTCTAAACAGTTGATTAACAGAAAACTACCCAAATATCTACCTAATCAGTAATTTTTTAATGTTACTTGTTATTTTTCAGACTTGGCAAGATCTTAGCATGCAAAAACTAAAGCATCAAAAAACAAGATGTATGCAAGCCAGACAGGTGGGGGACCTCCAGTAGTTGAAGTCTTGGAAAAAGTTGAAAACGAAATCTTGGACTTAATGACGCCCATTGCCATCCAAGGACTTCCATCTATTAAAGAATCTTCAACTCATTTCAACTTTGACACAGACTTCTATGACTTAAGTAGTTTTGATATAAATAATGATGAGGATATACCTAATCAAAACCCTAGATTGGACACTAACATAGGAGATATACATATGGAGCAAGAAATACAGGTAGGTACCTACCTAAGTTATAGTGACAAGTTCTCCTTTAAAATTACTAAAATTAGCCTGAAAATTAGGCATTCAAGGAATTTCTATATGAATCTTGTGGAAATATGTAGTTTGAAAATGATTGTTTAAGTGTTAATGAGGCAACGATGTACTTTTATCAATAAATTAGAGAGCCACTTTCCAGAAATTATTTGGGGTGCGACAATGTTCAACTTCAGGTCCTTTATTTTTTTTAACTTATAAAAATGGCTAGGTAGGTTATACAGGATTAATTTATTAGGTATAGTGAATGCAACAATATACCGTTGATCTTCTGACTGCAATAATACCTTCAACAATGCCTATACAATAGGGTCTAATCCAGGTAGTTAATTTATTGCAATAAGAGTCAGCGGTATATTGTTGCACCTACTATACTCTGGTCTGCAAAAAAATTGAAAACGACAAAATTTTATTAAAAAAATCATGATTATTAGGTATTAATAAATTATTATTCTTAGGTAAACATGAAAATCTGGCTTTTCTAAATTATTTTATCAACATTGCAAATGTTCAATTTTCAAGCAGTGATTATTTTTTAATTAAACTTCTAACTAGCTTTTTACTTCTCATTTTAGGATCACAGTGTAGTTAACGATATACAGTTTGATGAGGTCATTATTGATCAAGAAAATACAGTACACCCTAGTACTGGTACTGGCAACAAGACTGGCAATGACCACTCATATTCTTTAGAGTTTCCCGGGCCAAAAGAAAAAGGAATCATCCCGAAGAAGCGACTCACTAAAACCAGAAGGTTAACTAGCTCTCTACAAGTAGGTCAAAAAGCCGCAAATTCCATGGACAGAAGGACTGAGATGTTTGAGAGCTACTACGAAGAAAAAAAGAATTATTTGAAACACAGGAAAAATTATGAAATGAAAAAATTAAACTTGCTTAGAATTAATAAGAACACTAACTTACAAATTCTAGAAACATTAAAATCTATGCATAAATGCAACTGTTCAAAGTAAAATTATTGTAACGTGTTGGATGCAGGTCATAAAATTGGTGTTTTTGTGCTACCCATTCTGTAAGTTGACTTTTTTGACCTACGTCCATGAACTGTAAGTGTCACTTACAGAATGGGTAGCACAAAAAATATCATATGCACCTCGACTTGTAGCGTGTACTTTTTTGGCCTCAAATGCTTGCAAACCTCGGCCCTACGGGCCTCGGCTTGCAAACTGCATCCTCGGCCAAAAAAGTAACACTTACAAGCCTTGGTACATAAATAACTATTTGTATGAAGGCGTATAAGGGAAACCCAACTTTTTATTTCTCACTTTTTAAAATTTCGAGTTATAACATAAAATTCTACTCTAAAATTTCGACATAAGTCGAAATTAAAACTCAAAATTTTAAAAATTGAAAAAAAATAGGTCTTTTCAACGCCTTCATAGTTTCGAGTCATATTCATGTCCTAAAATACATATTTTTGGCTTGTGACTTATTGCATCCAAGATGTGGGAAAATAAATTGGGTACCTACCTACGTATATCTGAAAGTTTGGTAAAAACCAAAGATTTTGTGATTCAGTCTAGTTGCAATATCTAAATAATTTCTTAGATAGTTAGATTTTTTCTTATTTGTTTTTGTTCAATTTATATTATGTTGAAAAGTATCAAATATTTATTATAAGCACATAGATTTAAAATATGTATTATAAATATCAGATACTCAGTTTCTTTCATTAAATAAAATGTTAATACCTACACTTGCTCTGAAACCCTTTGTTCAGTGTTTCACTTCAAATTAAGCATCTGCATACAACAAAGATTTTTTGAAGTCCATAAAGAATATGTAGGTCTGTGCTAGTGCTGCCATTTTCTACTTATCCACACAGCAAGTGTCATAATTTGGAAATTGGTTTGCAGGGAGACAAAAAATCAATATAATGGATAATAAAATTTATTCTTGTATTAAGTAAATAAATAATTCACATAGTGAGTAGCAATAATTCTTGCTCGAAGAAGCCTTCCTTGCTCCAATTCAGGATTTACACCACCTATATTGTTGCCATCAGCAGCTACATTATTAAGACCTAAATCTAACTCCAGATTCGGGTCCATTTCAGGTTCAGGCACATTATTGCTGACGCAGATATTATGCAAAACTGCACATGCTATAATAATTTTGGCTGCTTTATCTGGAGCATAATGAAGAGTCCTGTATTTGAGTAAGCACCGAAACCTGTTTTTCAGTAAACCTATGCACCGTTCAACAATACTTCTAACAGATTTCAAATGATTAGAAAATCTTTCTTCTGGTGTATTGGGAAGTGGATTCAGTAATGCAGTGAGCAACCATGGACGTAAAGGGTATCCTAAAAAAAGCCGAATGTATACTGTTACATGATTATACATAGTACAGTACAGGGTGTTACAAATTCAAGTGTGTGCATGGGATCTCGGAAAACATTATTATTATTATCGATTAAATTGAGGCAAAGCTGCGCAATTTTATGCTTAAGAAAATACCGTTTTGAAAATTTAAAAATTTCTAATAGTACCGGAAATATTCGGAATAAACCGAAATTTTACAAAAGCGTTTTTCTTTTTTTCTGAGCTTATTTGAAGAGATACTCCACAATAAATGTCACTTTATTGTTGCCACTTTTTCTCCTCTGCAAGAAGCTACCATCAAATTAAAACCCGATGTTTCGTCTTTGAGGCACCATCATCAACTTCAGTTTTTCAAATACGGACCCTTATTTTTATTTTAGATTTTATAAGCTTCTGATGTCCAAAACCAACGACGTATTGCAATTATTCGAAAAATTTATATTAGTGGCACTTTCCATAAGAACTAAATGTGTTAGAGAGAGACATAGAACAGCATTTTGACAGGAAATTACTAAAAAGTAAAAAAAAATATTTTTTTCTATTTTGGTGTCATATTGCAGTCTTTTCGACACTAAAAGTAGGTTCGAAAAGAAGCTTTTTGTGACACTCCTTTTTTACTTATCGAAGGTTGGTAACACTGGCTGACTGATGGCCATCGAACTGTCATTCGCGATAAAAAATAATAGAAAATTTCTATATTTGGCATGTAGTGTTACCAACCTGAACATATGAAATCAGGAAATATGAGAATAAAATTTCCAAGAAAAGTTTTTTTTTTTAATTAAACAATACCAAAATAGAAAAAATAGTATAAAATATTCGTTTCATAAGACATTTTATCGCACTCGCCCTTTAGAAAACTTGCCTCCGGCTCGTTTTCTAATATAGGGCTCGTGCGATAAAATGACGTCTTATGAAACTTGTATTTTAATGTACTATTTCGAATAAATGCGATACGTCATAGGTTTTAGGACATCAGAAGCTCTTTTAATCTGACATAAAAAAAACAGGGTCGTATTTAAAAAAATAAGTTTATGATGGTCTCCCAAAGACGAATCGTCAGATTTCAAATTTCTTTATTTATTTATTAATTTACGGGAAAACCCCATTTAACAGTTTTACAATTAACAAAATATAAAATTATGAATATAGATTAGTCATAAAACCATCCAAACTAACTAAAACAAATTTGATGGTAGCATCTTGTAGAGGAGAGAAAGTGGCAACGAAGTGACATTTGTTTTGGGATATCCCTTCAAATAAGCTGAGAAAAAAATAAAAACGCTTTTGTAAAATTTCGGTTTATTCCGAATATTTCCGGAACTATTCGGAATTTTTAATTTTTCAAAACGGTGTTTTGTTAAGCATAAAATTACGCAACTTTGCCTCACTTTAAGCGACCTCGTATCTCTTATGGTTTCCGAGATCCCCATGCACACACTCGAATTTGTAACACCTGTATATTTATTCAAAATGAGGCATATTCTTACAGAAATCAGTGAAATCACAAACCAGACAAAGTTTTTTCCACAAATGGATGTCAGTTGGCAATCAGCTCACAATTTTTTACCAATGAAAATCATCTTAAATAGTTTGTAATTTCCTTGGTATTTTTTTGATAAGTACAATAATATAAAATACCTGAGTCCCCAAGGAGAAAAAATGGACTATCAAAAGTTCTGTGTATCCTTTCCATGAGTTGGGAAATGTTAGATTGACGCCATACGTGAGCATCATGACTACTTCCAGGAAACCGAGGATTTATATTCATTATCCTCAACTGTTCGTCACAAATCTAAAATTAACAAAAAAAATTACATACACATATACCTATCTATACTATTGTGATAAACTAGGTGTTTTCCAACCTTTCCGAACATTTTTAACCGCAACAACCAGGTTGAAATAATAATTCAATTAAGGAAAATTAAAAAAAAAAAAAAACAATAAACCTAGAACAAAAAATGAGATATTCTGCCCTGCAATTGAAAATCATAGTAAGTAGACTTACTAGGATTTTGCTCTGTTTAAACTAAATAATCAACTTGGTTTCTTCTGATCTATTTACTGCTATTTGTTACAGTTACAAATAGAAAGGATTTCGCAAATGTACTTACATTAAAAAATAGGTATGCATATTAAATAAAGTTACTTAAGAATTTGTATACCTATTTTGTTCATGGATTATTTATACTGCCATTGAAAAACATAATAAAATAAGTAACTATCTTTTATTGCTATAATATTCCAAATAAAAACACCCTGTATCTCGACTATCTCGTTTTCTGAACTCTAATTACTATTTTTTTAAAAGGAATCTATTTAATAATATTTCATAGTGCATATGCCTGGGAAATGAGCCAAAATTAGGGTTTAAAACTGCACTGCATAGAAGTTTTCAATTTAAAATTTGCAGTGCCTATAAGATCTGGTAAAATGAAGATATGTAGTTCAGCCATTCCTGAGTCTCAAAGAGAAAGTATCAACATAATTATCAGTTATTATTATAATAACACTTGTAGAAGAAATCTTCTAAGTATAGGTGCTTTCCAGGTGGCGCTTTTGTGCACGCAATCGAGCACTTTTGCGCATGAGTTTGAAACGCATGTGCCAGGCTTACAATTTTGGTATGGCGTTCAGAGCGCAAAAGTGCCTTCCCCTTTCCCCTCGAGCACCAGAATGGGCTTGAAGCTCAAGTGCGTTGTAGGCTGGAAAGCGGCTTATCTGTGAAATGTTGCGTTGCAGTCAAGGTCTTATTTTAGATGATAAATTAAATTGGTTTTTGCATATAGAATACATAAAGACCAAATTTATTCCACTGATAGGAGCTGTATTTAGATGCAAAGACTTTTTTAGTAATAGCGCAAATACAATGCTCATTTCTAAGCAATTATTATATATTAATTGCCAATCTGGGGACATGTAGTGCAACAGGCTTTAATAGAGTACAAGTGCTGCATCAAAACAGAATTTTAAAAAGCTTATTTAATTCAGATTTCCGAACAAGCACTGAAACGATCTATAAGACCTTAAAACTTCCACCAGTCAAAAATATTCTACAAATCGATCAAGCTAAATTAAAATACAAAATTAATAGTAATAAACAAAAATGTAATACCCATATAATCCACACAAACCAGATACTTACATACCTAACCAAAACACTAGAAAATGCAGCAATATTTATCTCTAAACCCTGTTAGAACTAATGTTGCATTACATAACCCAGTAAGCAAGGATTCAACTGTTTTTAATAAACTTCATACCAGTTTAAAAAATGAAAAATCTATTGATATTTTTATTGGAAATGTAAGTGGTGTACAGTTTTTTTTATCATTTTTACAGTTTGATTTTCAAAAGCTTGTCTCATAAGGTATATTAGTTGATTGGCCTTTTTTACTGTGTGGGATATATGGGTTTCCCATTTCTCTGAAATGGCCCATTTCAGATCATCGGTGACATAGACTCCTAGGTCTTTCTGTTCCAGGGACGTAGCAAGTCAAAACCGGGCCCTGGTGCAAGACTAGAGCACGGCGGGCTCCCTTCACCATGGACATCCGAAGGTTCAAATTTTCAAATTCATCGACGGGTGGGGAGAGGGTTATGGGCAAAATGGCGCGTGACAAATT